TTTGTAATATCTACTTTTCCATCCTTTTGCTTCTTTTTTAAAAAATATTTTTTAGTTGTCAATGGATCTTTTATTTATTTATTTATATGCAGTGCTGAGGACTGAACCGAGGGCCTCACACATGCCACCAAGCACCACTGAGCCACAACCCCAGCCCCATCCTTTTACTTTCAGTCTGCCATTATTATTATATTTAAAGTAAGTTTCTTGGGGACAACTTATAATTGGGCTGTTTCTTTGATCCACTCTAACAATTCTTTTAATTGGAATATTTAGGCCATTTACATTTAATGTGATTATTGATATGTTAGGACTTAAGTCTGACTGGTTTTTTGTTTTCTGTTTGTTCTCTCTGACTTTTATTTCCCTTTCTTGCCTTCCTATGGGTTACTTGAACATTTATGAGATTACTATTTTGATTTCTTTCTACTGTTTTTTGTGTATTTCTCTGTTGCTTTTTAACAAATTGCTCTAGGCATTAAATTATATATACATAACTTACCATGGATTACTAGTGCCATCATTTTATCAGTTCAAATAAATATAAAAATCTTATTTTCTTTCAGGTCTGCTTATAAAATAATTATTTTAAATACTTCCTTTAGCCAGATGCAGTAGCACATGCCTATAATCCCAGAAGCTAGGGAGGCTGAGGCAGGAGGATCATGAGTTCAAAACCAGCCTCAGCAACAGCAAGGCCCTAAGCAAATCAGTGAGAGCCTGTCTCTAAATAAAATACAAAATAGGGCTGGGGATATGGCTCAGTGGTCAAGTATCCCTGAGTTCAATCCACAGTATTCCCTCCACACAAAAAATAAATACTTCCTCTACCTATATTTAGAACCACATCACACAGTGTTATAAGGTTTTGTTTTAATGCTTAAACATTATTCATAAACCTCAAGAGATTAAGAAAAGTCTATTATATTTTTGTTTACTGTGATCTTTTTCCTTCTGAATGTCCCACATTTCCTTCTTTTGTCATTTCCTTTTATTTAGAGACTTTCTTTAGCCATCCTTTTAGGATTGCTCTATTGGTGACAAACTCGACTTAGTTTTCCTTCATCTGAGAATGCCTTAATTTCCCTTCATTTCTGAAGCATCTTTTTTTAAGAGTATAGGATTCTTGGAAGGCATTTCTTTTAGTACATGAAAAATATCATGCCACTTCTTTGTGATGATGATAAGTCTCCTGTGACTCAAACTGTAGATAAATTGTCATTTTCCACCAGCTGTTCTCAAGATTCTTTTTTCCTTTAGTTTTCAGAAGTTTAATCATGATATAAGCCGGCATGAATTTATTGGAGTTATCTTATCAGGGGTTTGCTCATCTTCTTAAATATTTATATTTATGTATCTTGACAAACCAGGAAGCTTTCAGCCTTTATTTCTTCAAGTTCTTTTCCAGCCTCCTTTTCTTCCTCCTTTTCTTCAGAACTTTAATTACGTGACACTAAGATATTTTGTTATAGTCTCATAGGTCTCTGAGGCTCTGATCATTTGTTTTCCAGTCTATTTTCCCTCATTGTTCAGACTGAGCAATTATTATTGTTCTATCTTCAAGTTCATTAATTCTTTCCATTCTGCTGTTGAACCCATCCACTGAGATTTTTATTTCTATTATTGTATTTTCCATTTTTAAGATTTCTATTTGAATCTTCTTGATATCTTCTTTTTTTGTGCTAAGTTTTTCCATTTGTTTTAAGCATGTTTTTAGTTGTTTGTTAAAACATTTTTATCATGATCGCCTTAAAATCTTGGTTAGATAAATCTACCTTCTTTGTCATCTTGGCATTGGCATCTATTAATGATCTTTGTTTCATTCAGTTTGAACTCTTCCTAGTTTGGGGTATGACAAGTGATTTTTTTTTAAATTGTTTTGGAAAACTCTAGGCATGGTATATGCAAACCAGCCACCAAGAGCAGTGGGGGCCATGAGCTTAAAGGAAGCATCAGACAAACTCAGGACTTTATGACGTGCAATTGAGTGTTTGGTGACTTATGGAGAGAAGCTCTTATGTCTTGGGTGGCATCAAGAAAAGTGAATCCCCACACCCCAAGACAGGAGAAAGGGCTTATATGCCAAGCCTGACATATTGGACTGCACCTGTCAGAGTATACCTGAGTTTTCTCAAAAACATTTAACATCAGTCAAGAAACAGTACAGGCATCTGTGGCCAGCACATGCCAGGCTGGCTGTCTTAACAACTTTGCTTCCTATAGGTCTTGGGATGTGTTAAGGGTCATCTAGCTGGCCAAATGGCAGGTACAACCAAGATGTCTGTAGGGTGATCAGAACAAGCTCTATCCTTATAGATTGAGCCTGGACATTTTGTATTGCATTACAAGACTCTGAATCTTACTCAAATCACCTCTTTTAACTGGAATTCTCCGGCATGACTCTGACAGAGAACAGGAGAGTCCATCTTGAGACTGGTAGGTGGAGGTAGAGACCCTTCAGCTAAAGTGGGGATCTTCATTTCTGCTGGGCGGAGGTAAGAGTTCTAGCTCCTTGGGGGTTTCCCTGGGTATGCTAAGGGTGGTATCACTACCCTGAGCAACAGTGAATACCATGATGGTCCACGAATGAAACAAGCTTTCCCCAATTATAGATGGTCCAGAAAATATCTTTCTGCTTCTATTATTATTTTAGAACTTGCTTTTCTGTTTTCCACCCCAGTGTACCACATGACTCCAGAGCATGCCGTAATGATAGGAACAGCAGCAATTTGTACTTGCTCAGCCTGTGACAGTTTATAAAAAGCTCTCGTGTACATTTTGACATTTGATCTTTGCAACGCTATGTAAGGTTGGCTAAACTGGTATTATCGTGACCACAGCTGACATTCAGCTGGCACCCAAGGGTACAATTATACTGGTTGCTAAAGTAACAAAATGCTTCTGTAAAAGCTGCTAAGTGAGTTCCCAAGTTCCCCCCACTGCCACCCTGTCCCCACCATCTCCTATGAAAGGTTCATGCTAAGTCCAAATGGGGACCGTCGCCAGTATCAGATTTGCTGATTGAATGTTTATTCATTACCTCCTGGTCTTGTACTCGCGGGACACTGAGGCTTCAAGAACAGGTGTCCTGCTCACAGGGAAATCACAGATCTCGCTGGAGCCAGAGTGGACGTGCACTCAGCAGGGCTGCAACCCTTACAAGGCCTCCCCGAACACCTTGGCCTTTCTCCTGCCTTGGCCCCTGCCATTCCCCCAAATGACCACCAGTGCCCACCCGTGAATCCTTCTTCTAGAACCTGAGCCCGTGCCGCTCTCACCCTCGAAACTCCCTCTCTACCCTGGAGTAGATGAGAAGGTTGCTCATTTCTGAGGCCTCGCACTGTGCACTCCAGCTTTTGCTGGGTGGAGTGGGTTGGGCAGGGCCTCCGTAATGAATCATACTTGCAAGTTTTATATTTTCCCCAAAGATCATCAAGAGAAAGACCATGTCTTAAAAATCCCAAGTCATCTGGCAATGGGGTGCACATTTGTTCTCTAAAATCCTAGCTGATGCTGCCTGGAGTGGTGGGGTAGGGTAGCAGACCCAGGGCACAGACACCATGCACAGGAAGATACAGTCACTAAGGCTTTTGCTCTGACCTTGCCCTGCCTGGCTTTGCACCCACATGAAGTTCTTCATACACCGGCACATGCCTGCGGAACAAGATCTGAATGACTCCAAATTTATCACTCGGGTGCCCTTGAACATCTCAGGAAAGGTTTTCATTTGACAGTCACATGATCAGTGTGTGTTCATGCCCTATGCAATTTCTTGGTGCCTATATATTTTTCAATAATTAATTTTTAAAAAGCAACCTAGGGGCTGGGGTTGTAGCTCAGGGGTAGAGCTCTTGCCTAGCATGTATGAGGCACTGGGTTTGATTCTCAGTACCACATACAAATAAATAAAGATCCATCAATAACTAAGAAAAAAAATAACCTAGGTCAGGTATGGTGGGGCACGTACCTGTAATCCTAGGAGCTCACAAGGCTGAGGCAGGAAGATCGCGAGTTCAAAGCCAACCTCAGCAACTTAGCAAGGCCCTCAGCAACTTAGCAAGACCCTGTCT